TTCTTTTTTTGTTGGTTGTGGGGCTTGAACTCTGGACCTGGGCGTTGTCCCTGAGCTCTTCAGCTCAAGGCAAGTGCTCTACCACTTTGAGCCACAGCACCATTTCCATTGTTGTGGGTTTTTTTTTGTTGTTGTTGTTGTTTTGTTTTTTGGTACTGTGGTTTAAACTCTGGGCCTGGGTATTATCCCTGAGCCTGTTTGTACTCAACACTAGTGCTATACCACTTGAGCCACAGCACCACTTTCGGCTTTTTCTTTTCTTTTTTTTTTTTTCAAGTCAAGCAGGAACTTGTTTATTATCTCACAGCAAGCATTTTTTTATTTTTATTTTTATTCACTTTCGGCTTTTTCTGAGTAGTTTAGTGGCAACTAAAAGTCTCACAGACTTTCCTGCCCCGGCTGGCTTTGAATCTTGATCCTCAGATCTCATTCTCCTGAGTAGGTAGGTATGAGCCACCAGTTCCCAGCTGGTGATTGCCATTCTCACTGGGGTAAAATAGAGTCTTAGTGTAGTTTTGATTTGTATTTCCTTTATAGCTAAGGGTGTTGAACCTTTCTCCATGTATCCATTCATTTGTGTTTCTTTTTTGGAAAACTGTCTTCAGTTATTTGTTCTTTTGCTATTTTTTGAACACTTTATATATTCTGGATATTGTTATTATTATATACTCTGCACATCCTTTATTTGTTGAATAACTAGCTGGCCAAGACTTTATTCTGTGGATTGTCTCTTGGTTTTGGTAATTGTTTTGCTGTGCAGAAACTTTTTAATTTGATGTAATTTGATAGTTCTAGTTCTTGATTTCTGGACAGTTGGAATCTTATTCAGCAAATAATTTATCTGTGCCTGTAACCTCCAGGTTTTTCTGTTTTCCAGTAGTAGATTAAAGTTTCAGGTTTACTTTGAGGTTTTTGATCCATTTGGAGTTGAATTTTGAACAGGGGTCAAGTTTCAGTCTCCTGCAAATGGATAACCAATTTTCAAAGCACCATTTGTTGAAGAGGCTGTCTTTTCCTCAGGGTATAATATGGCTCCTCTGTTGAAAATTAGATGACTGTGGTTGTATGGTTTTATTCCTGGGCTGTCTGTTCTGTTCCATTAGTCTTTGGGTCTGTTTTTGTGCTGGTAGCAAACTTGTTTTTGTTACTATTGCCCTTTAGTATATTGAGATCCGATATCTCCAAAGCTGCTCTTCTTACTCAGAACTACTTTCATTCTTTTGGTGCTTTTTATGTCTCCATATGAATTTTTTAATTGATTTTTCTATTTCTGTGAGATGACATTGGGACTTGGATGGGTATTGCTTTGAATGTGTAGATTGCTGTGGCAGGATGGCTATTTTTATGATATTGATTCTGCCTATTATTTTTTTTTTTTTGGGTCCGGTCATGGGGTCTGAACTCTGGGCCTGGGCGCTGTCCCTCAGCTCTTCAGCTCAAGGCTAGCGCTCTACCACTTGAGACACAGCGCCACTTCCGGCTTTTTTTCTTTTTGCTTATATAGTGCTGAGGAATTGAACCCAGGGCCTCATGCATGCAAGGCAAGCGCTCTACCACTGAGCCAACTTCCCAGCCCCTGATTCTGCCTATTCTATGAGCATAGGAAAGGAAGTCTTAACCATTTCTGGTCACTTCCTTCAAGGATTTATAGTCTTCTACTCCCTTGGTTAAGTGAATATGTAAGTATTTTGTAGAAAAAAACTATTGTTTTTTGAGTACTGATTTTATATTCTGCTATGTTTCCAAAGTTGTTTTATCAGACCTAGAAATTTTCTGGTGGAGTCTGTAGGCTCTGTTATGTATAGGGTTTTATTATCGGCAAATAGAGCTAATTTGACTTTCTCCTTCCTTAATCCTTTTTATTTCTTTCTCTTGTCTTACTGTCTTCGCTAGGAATTCTAGTACCATATGAATAAGAGGGGAAGAGGGCCACCCTTGGCACCAAGGCTATTTCCAAACTTTGGAGGAAAATTTTCTCTAATAAGATATTGGCTTAAATTTATCATGTATAGCTTTTTAAAATTTCAGGTACATTCCTTCTCTATTCTTAGTATTAGTTTCTTCATTGGATTCTTTTTGGGTGTGTGTGCTGGCCTTTGAACTTGGGGCCTGGGCATTGTCCCTGAGCTGTTTTTTTTTTTTTTTTGCCAGTCCTGGGGCTTGAACTCAGGCCCTTTGTACTGTCCTTGAACTTCTTTTGCTCAAGGTTAGTGCCCTACTACTAGAGCCACAGCACCACTTCTGGCATTTTCTGTTTATGTGGTACTGAGGAATTGAGCCCAGGGCTTCAAGCATGGTAGACAAGCACTCTACCAACTAAGCCACATTCCCGGCCTCCCTGAGCTTTTTTGCTCAAGGTTATCACTCTACCACTTGAGCCACAGCTCCACTTCTGGCTTTTTTGGTGGTTAATTGGAGATAAGAGTCTCATGTACTTTCCTGCCTGGGCTGGCTTTGAACAACAATCCTCAGATCTCAGTCTCATGAGTAGGTAGGATTCCAGGAATGAGTCACCTGTACTGGGTCATCAGAGCTTTATAATTTAAAAAAAAATGTTGAATTTTGTAAAAGGATTTTTTTTGGGGGGGGGTTCTGGTCATGGGGCCTGGGCACTGTCCCTCAGCTCTTCAGCTCAAGGCTAGCGCTCTACCACTTTGAGCTACTTCAGGCTTTTTTCTTTTTGCTTATGTGGTGCTGAGGAATCGAACCCAGGGTCTCATGCATGCAAGGCAAGCGCTCTACCACTGAGCCACCTTCCCAGCCCTAAAAGGATTTTTTTATATCAATGAGGTAATTATATGATTTTTGTTCTTAATCCTTATATGATATACTATATTTATTGATTTACATATGCTAAATCATCCTCACATCCGTGGGATGACACTGACTTGATCATGATGGGTGATACTTTTAATATGTTGTTGAATTCTATTTGCAAGAATTTTATTAAGAATTTTTGCCCTGTGTTGGTCGTTGGTGGCACAAGCCTATAATCCTAGCTACTGAGGATGCTGAGATCTGAGGATTGTGGTTCAAAGAAAGCTCAGGTAAGAAAGTTCATGATACTCTTATCTCAATTAACTGCCAAAAAAGCTAGAAGTAGAGCTTTGGCTCAAGTAGTAGAAGTGCTTAGGGAAAGCCCACAGGCTCTCAGTTCAAGCCCCAGGACCAGTGCACGCACACAGACACAGAAGTTTTGCGTCAATATTTATCAAAGAGATTTTTTTTGCTGTTGTTGGGTGTTTGTGGTTTTGGAATGAGTGTAATACTTGCTCATAGCATGAGTTCAGTGGTGTTCTTTCCTTTTCTATTTAATGAAAGAGTTTGGCGTATTAGTGTTCTATTTATTTATTTATTTTGCCAGTAGTGGGGCCTGAACTCGGCCTGGGTGCTGATCCTGAGCTCTTCAGCTCAAGGCTAGTGCTCTACCATTTGAACCACAGCACCATTTCTGGCTTTTTTTTTTCCTGCTTATGTGGTGCTGAGGAATAGAACCCAGGGCCTCATGCATGCTAGGCAGGCACTCTACCACTGAGCCACCTTCCCAGCCCCTCGTGTTCTTTTTTAAAGATGTGATAGAATGTCAGTGAATCCATCTTGTCTTCTTTGTTAGGAGACTATTATTGCTTCGATGTCATTGCTTGTTATAAGTGGTTCATATCCTCTTGGTTCAGTTTTGGTACATCAACTGTATCTAGAAAATGTATCTATTTCTTCTATATTTTTCAATTTATTTGATTTAGGTTTTCTAAGTATTGTCTCTGTAAGCATTATGCCCACCTGTGGTCCTCAGCTCCACCCAGACCTGAGCTCCTCCCTGCCCTGGAGTTCCCGCCATACAGCTGACCCCTTCCTCTCTCCGCCCAGACCCACATGAACTCCCATCTACCTCACTTTCGACCCCTCAGACCCTGCTGCTACCTAGATAGTGGAGGCTGCCATGTGGTCTCTCTTGGGGCAAACATGGCTCCTCTAATAAACCTTGTGTCTGCCTGCTTTTGTGTAGTCCCCTGGGATGGATGTGACAGATCCCTTTCAGCCTCATGATACTTTGGATATCTTTGATACTTGTTGTTCCCTGTTTCTAATTTTATTCATTTGAGTCTTTTGATTCTTAGCTGTTCAGGAGATTTTAAATTACATGTGTAGCTTGCCTTCTGTTTCTTTCAATAAATGTAAATTCTATGAATAAAGACACTTATTCTGAGTAAATTCCTCAAGATTCCTCAGAACTCTGAGACCTGGGCTTTTTTCAAGATTACATGTCCTCACTAAATGAACCAAATAGTAAGCTAACGAGTTAACATGAGAAAGAAAAAAGAGCAAGGAGGTAAGTTCCCACCTCCAACTCCTTGTCCCTTCACAGTTTGGATTCCAGAGTGACCTGGTTTCACATATCTCCATTCCCTAGACAACTCCCAGAGGACAGCCTTAAGAATTAGGTCATGGTGATACATGCCTATAATCCTAGCACTCCAGGGCTGAAGCAGGAAGACAGTGAATGTGGCTCCACATTGAGGACCTGTTTCAAAAAAAGAAAAGGCTGCTGCGTTATAATTCTGCCTCCTCAGAGGTAGCTCCAGAGGACTGAGGTTCAAGGCCCCACCTGACAGAAAAGACCTTGAGACTCCATCTTCAAGTTGGTAGAGCAACCACAGGCCCTGAATCAAACCCTAGTACTGACAAGAAAAAAAGGAATACCTTTTTCAGAGATCTAACAGGATGGCCAGTTGCCCCCTGGCTCTTTTAGATCATCTCAGGGGAGTCTATAAGCTATGGTTTGGAGCTATATAGACCTGAGGTTAAATCCTAGCTCTGTGGCACTCAAGAAAGCCTCTGAGGTTTCCCTTAGTATATTGAAAGTCTTAAGAACATAGAGAAAAAGTGACTTAGTACCCAGCACAAATGTTAACTTCTGCTGTTGTGGTGAGTTTGCATCAGGGTTGATTAAGAAACATGGAAGCCCTGCAGGCTATAAATGAGTGTCTCCTTCCATACAGGAAAGTCACACCTGGCCATTGTGCAGAAGGTGAACAATGAGGGTGAAGGCGACCCCTTCTATGAGGTCCTGGGCCTGGTCACTTTGGAGGACGTCATTGAGGAGATCATTAAGTCTGAAATCCTGGACGAGTCTGAAGACTACCGTGAGTTTTTACTCCCAGTCATTTTCTGGCTCAACTGGTTCTTCCAGTGTCCTGATACAGTGTCCTGTGTACTAGAGGCTAGTGGATCTCAGTACCACTAGAAACTGTCTGGCTCCCTAGCCTGGCCCCATTCATCTTGTATCTTACCTTCATGGACCAATACTGTTCCCTTGCAGCAGAGTACTTGGACCTCCATGCAAATCATGGCATCCATCATGTAATTCACGTATATGCTTGCAGCTTCCATTAGCAGCCACCCTCATGTTGTAAGGGAATTCAGTCAGTGAGAAACAGAGAAGCCGCTTTTTTTTTTTTTTTTGGTTGTCAGTCATGGCCTGGGTGCTGTCCCTCAGCCCTTCAGCTCAAGATGAACGCTCTACCACTTGAGCCACAGCACCACTTACAATTTTCTGGTGGTTTATTGGAGATAAGAGTCTCACGGACTTTCTTGCCCAGGCTGGCTTTGAACTGTGATTCTAGACCTCAGCCTCCCGAGTAGCGAGGGTTACAGGCATAAGCCACCAGTGTCCAGCGCCAGCAGAACTTTCTATCTAGGGAAGTAGCTCAGGGGTCAGCTTAAACTTTCTATATAGGGTTATACTTAGAAGCTAGAGGCTTAGAGGCAAGTGAATCAAACCTTTTAGGGGAAACTGAAGGCCAGCATTCTCTGTGGCAAAAGCTCTTCTAAGACTAAACAGCATGACATCTACAGTCCAGTGAATGGTCTCCCTTCTAGGCTTTTCAAAGCTGGGTGGAAAGCCCCCTCCACCCAGCAAAGCACCAGGATGACTGTAAAAACAAAGCATATTGCTTAGACCCAGTCTCCTTATTTCATTCATCTCCAAGAAAGTACTCTGTCCTTCATTGTCCTGTCCTGTTCTTTCTTGGTGTTTTTTTCCTAGGTCATCTATTCAAAAACAGATGCTGGGCTGGGAAGGTGGCTGAGTGGTAGAGTGCTTGCTTTGCATGCCTGAGGCCTGGGTCCCACTCCTCAGCACCACATAAGCAGAAAAAGCTGCAAGTGGCGCTATGGCTCAAGTGGTAGAGCGCTAGCCTTGAGCTGAAGAGCTCAGGGACAGGGCCCAGGTGCAGAGTTCAGGCCCCACAACCATCAAAAAACAAAAACAAAAAACAGCTGCTGCCATTTGTTATTGGTGATCCTCAATAACATATTTTCCAGTGGGGGAGACCTTGAGGTCTCCCAAGAAGGCCTACTATTGTATACAAACTGCTTTATTCATAACATTATTGTCTCCAGGAGAACTAGGCCATAGAAGGGAGCTGTACTTCCTTGGTGCATATTTGGAATGTGGGTCAAACGCCCTTGGGGTATATGTAGTCCTGTGTGGAGAATGACTACCAGGTACCTTGGAGGGAGCAGGGCTAAGATGTGTCCATGGGACTCTTGTTTTTGTCTTCTCATAGGTTCCCCAGGCCCTAGTAGAAAGACAAAGGGAACAGGGTGTCTTGGTTTGGTTGTGTTCATTGGACCAATTGCTGATGCCTATACATGCCTTCTTCTCACTAATGCAGGAGCTGATACAATGAAGAAGAAGTCTGTTCCCCTGAGTGCCCCGCTAAAGCGGAAGGAGGAATTCTCCTTGTTCAAGGTGTCTGATGATGAATATAAAGTAAAAATCTCACCCCAGCTGCTCCTAGCCACCCAACGCTTCCTTTCCAGAGGTGAGGGAAAGAGTGGTCCTTATCAATTCTCTCACAGTCCAGTGGCAGACACTAATTCTGGCTCCCTGTCATGGTGTGCAGAAGCTCAGAAGAGAGCATTTCTGCTTCCCTGTGCAGCTGAGGTGTGGCACACATGGGCAAAAACAGTGCTGGGCTGGGGCTCCCTGAGGTGTTGTGTGGCTGGGGAGCCTTAGCTGGCCTGGATGTATGCTCTGCCCAGCTCTTTTGTGTGAATGTAACAGTTTAGAGGCTTGCTGAGGAGAGCATAGAAGGTGACAGGCCACTTGGGCCCTAGTGGACACTGTCCCTTTCTCCCATTATGGGGCAGAGGTGGATGTGTTCAGCCCACTGAGAATCTCCGAAAAGGTCTTGCTGCACTTGCTGAAGCATCCCAGTGTGAACCAGGAGGTGAAGTTTGATGAGAGCAACCGCCTGGCTGCACATCATTACCTGTACCAGCGTAGCCAGCCAGTGGACTACTTCATTCTCATCCTGCAGGTAAGCCTCCCCCATCCTCAGAAATGCAGGGAGAGTCCTTGAGGAGTGGTAGGGAGAGAGGGACATCCAGTTACCCACCCCTGGATAATTAAGGGCAATAGTTTATCCCTGTACTCCCTTCTGATGGGAAAGATAATCTGCCTACCTCTTTTGTCTCCTCATCTTCCCCACTCCCTCAGGGCAAGGTTGAGGTGGAGATTGGAAAGGAGGGCCTGAAGTTTGAAAATGGGGCCTTCACCTACTATGGAGTGTCTGCCTTGACAGCACCATCCTCAGGTGAGCTATGTCCCCTGTAGCTTAGGGCTGGTGTCATGGTCTGCAGATTCCCCCTCCCCGCCCCCCTTGGTGGCTCTCTAGCTTCCCTGAGAGCCCATTGCTCCCACACCAATGTTCCTTGTCTCTGTGCTACATAGAGGGCACCGCAACATTTCTTCCTTCTTCATCTTCATGACCCACCCTATTCCTGGAAACCTTCCTCAGATGTGTCCTCTACTCTTTCCTAGGTCTCCACCTATCCCTACAAGGGTGATTTTGTGGATAGTTCTTAGAAACAGTTCAGTTGAAACATCACTGATTATTCCTTTTCTTAGTTCACCAGTCCCCAGTCTCCTCGCGACAGCCTACTCGCCATGACCAGCAGCCCGAGCCATTAGAGAGCAGTATCCGTTCCTCAGCATACTGTCCTGACTATACTGTGCGGGCCCTCTCTGACTTGCAGCTCATTAAGGTAACTACTTGGACTACTCATTGGTGTTGGCTTTAATTAGTTTGCTGTCTCCAGGGGACTAGTCTAGCTGGTTACAGTGTATATATGCAGAGTAAACTAAATGACTCTCCCAAGATTATACCTGTTCTTTTTCCTAAATGATGAGGCTCTACTCTGTGGATGGCTATGGACCATCCATGTGGGTCTGCCTCCAGGCCTCAAATATGATCTCCATTGGAACTTGTGGAGTACTAATATCATCAATTAGTTGACCAAAGGGGTTTTGCTCTGATATGTTCTGTTTTAACATGCATACAGTACCTTAATCATACTCAGATGCTCTGTGGAGATCTCAAGAACACTTGGCTTGTGCCAGGCACAAGTGGCTCATACCTCTAATGCTAGCTACTCAGGAAACAGATCAGGATTGAAATTTAAGGCAAGTCTATCAAAAAGTTCATAAGATCCCATCCCAGTCAATAATAGCTAGGCATTTTGGTGCATACCTAATATCCCAGCTATATGGGAAGCTGATGGGGAAGATCAAGATTTCAGGTCAGCCCTGGCAGAAGAGTTCTTAAGACCCCAACAGAAAAAGTTAGGCATGGTGGCACATACCTGTTATCCCAGCTAGAACATAACTAGGAAGGTAGTTGTCCAGGGTGGCCTGGGGCCAAAAGAGCAAACCATATCTCAAAGCCAGAGCAAAAAGGGCTAAAGGTATGGCCCAAGCAAGTACTAGGCATAGCAAAGCATAAGGCCCTGAGATCAAAACTCAGGACAAAAAAGACCCAGTATAGTAAAAAACAAAAAAGCACTTGGGGAAGTGGAGCTGTGGTTCAAGTGGTAGAGCACTTGCCTTGATCTGAAGAGCTCAGGGACAGCTCAGGCCCAGAGTTCAAGCCCTATGACTGACAAAGAGAAAAAGGAAAGAAAAGAAAGCACTTGTTGGTTCCAGGGCTTTCTCTGCACTTCACTAGCTTAAAGTTCTTCCTTTGTCCTTGTGCTGCCTGTCTAGTGAAGGTCAGAAGTGAGCCCTTGTTTATGCCTTACTAGCAGATTCTACTTCACATACTGTGCCTGCTGGGTAACACCTGCCTTCCAGGTTACACGACTGCAGTACCTCAATGCACTCCTGGCTACCCGAGCACAGAGCCTGCCGCCGTCCCCTGAGAATTCTGACCTGCACGCCATCCCAGGCAGTCAGACCAGGCTCCTTGGTGACAAATCTGCTGCAGCAGGTAAGCACCCCATGTGGCACATCTTGCAGTGTTGGCACACAGAGGGCAAGTGAAATTGCTACTTCTCAGTGCTTATACAGAGACCTGCTTACTGTTCTCCCCTGCCTTGTATTCTGCTGCCTCCATTTCTCTTCCCATTCTTTGCCTTCTGGCTGCCTGAGTAGTTTGGATGACACCAAGCTATAGACCAACTGGCACTCAAAATAGATCATATTAAGCCAGTATTTTCTCCCGAGGGCCTTTTAGAATTGTCTTAGAGTAGTTGATAATAGGAAATAGCAAGTTCAGACATTCTTCTGGCCATTAAGGTTATGTCACCTGGACAATGAAGTTTTTCTTTGTTAGTTTGGCTCAGAATAGCATTTGCCCAGGAGTTGGGGCAGCACATGCCATTGGTGAAGGACCATTTCATCTGGATCCACGGTGTATAGAAAGGGCATAGGCACCTGGGGCTGACCCGTGAAGTCAGGTGTGGTGGGATCAGGGTGGTGGAAAGCCCAGCCTCCTGTTGTTGTGATTCATAGTAGTTTAGTAGTCCTAGTGTTGAATTGGAAATTGCCAGGCTGGGGTTTCTGGAAAAGCTGTGGGAGGCATGCAAGCTGCTTCCTCACCCCACCATGCTAACATGACATAAATGGGCTTTGACTGAGCATTTACTCGGTGGATACCACACTAAGAACCATCTCTGTATGTACTCGAGGCCTTTGCACTGTCCTGGGAGGTGGGAATTGTTGAACTATCTTACAGATGAGGAATGGAAGTCAAAGGGCGGGCCTAGGCCTGGACAGCCTCCCTGAGACTTCCCTATGTGATCACTTAGACCTATGCTTGAGAACACAAATATGTGTTTATAGTAGGAACCAGTTTTCTGGATTCTGAGGTAGCATGCAGGTGCAAGGCAGAGACTTATACTATGAGCCACTGTGATGGATGGTTTAGTCCCTATGGGTTCCAGCTCTGAGTGTTGAGAAAAGGAGACAATAGTTGAGAGCCCTGTTTCTTTCTTTTCTTTTTTTGTCGGTTGTGGGGCTTGAACTCTGGGCCTGAGTGCTGTCCCTCAGCTCTTCAGCTCAAGGAGAGCGCTCTACCACTTGAGCCACAGTGCACTTCTGGTTTCCTGAGTGGTTTATTGGAGATAAGAGTCTCACGGATTTCCCTGCCTGGGCTTTAAACTGCGATCCTCAGATCTCAGCCTCCTGAGTAGCTAGGATTACAGGTGTGAGCCATTGGCATTCAGCTAGGACTTTCTTTCTTTCTTTCTTTTTATTGTAAAAATACTGTATAGAGGGGTTACAATTACATGGGCAAGATAATAAGTACATTCTTATCAAGCATTGTAGCCTCCTCCTTTGTTTTCCCTTCCTATCCCTTCCCCCCCATCCCCCCCCACTACCCAATCCTTCCCCCCCCCCAACAAAGTTGTAAAGTTTGTTTTTGACATAACGACTTGTACATCTTCTAGGGCCTTATTTTTTAAGTGCTGGCTCTGAGTATACTTTCTAAAGGACTGTCTACTTAGATGAGCTGAACCTCTTAGGGTTGGTATTATAAGGAGCTCCTGATTCAGAATTTCACATCAGCATGTTTTCCTTGCCAAATTTTTTTTCCAAATATAAGCCATTTGGCTTTATTTTTCTTACACTGGAGCCTTTTCTGGCTCTATTTGCTACTCATACTATATATTTTGTTCACGGTACAGACCTAATTTGGTGCCTCTTTTGTCACATGTCCAGAAATTCCATTATTTTGATTTTTTACTGCTGTTGTACTTGAAATTGAATCCGGAATCATTTTTGTATTATAGGGCTTCATAGTTAGGTAATTCTAGGTAAATGCACTACCACTTGATCCATACCCCTAGTCGGAACCCAAACTACTTAGGCAAATACTGTACCACTAAACTATACCCCTAGTTCATCGAGATTTTTTTTTTTAAAAAAACTTCTTGGTGCCAGGTGCCAGTGACTCAAACCTATCCTCCTTAAGAGGCTGAGATCTGAGAATTGAAGATTGGAGCCAGCATGAGCAGACAGTTCCTTGGGATCCTTATCTCTAGCAAAAAGCTGGAAATAGGGCTGGGAAGGTGGTTAGCAGTTGAATGCTTACCTAGCATGCACGAAGCCCTGGGTTCAATTCCTCAGTATCACATACACAGAAAAGGCTGGAAGTGGTGCTGTGGCTCAAGTGGTAGAGCCCTAGCCTTGAGCAAAAGGAGCTCAGGGACAGTGCCCAGGCCCTGAGTTCAAATTCCAGAACTGTCAAAAAAAAAAAAAAAAGCCGGAAGTGGAGTCATAGCTTAAGTAGCAGAGTACAGCTGTGAGTAGAAAAAGCTGAGCAAAAGCACAAGGCCTTGAGGTCAAGCCCCACTACTGGCATTTAAAAAAAATCTCTTGGGCAGGGCCTCAGTGGGTCATGCCTATAATCCTTGCTACTTAGGAGGTTGAGATCTGAGGATCACAGTTCAAAGCTAGCCTGGGCAGGAAGTCTGTAAGACTCTTATGTCCAATCAACCACTGGAAAACCGGAAGTGGCCCTGTAGCTCAGAGTGCTAGCCTTGAGCAAAAGAGCTCAGAGATGGATGGTGTCCAGGCTCTTGAGTTGAAGCCCCACAACTGACCCCCCCCCCCAAAAAAAAAAAAAACTCCCTTGGCTTCAAGCTACTCATTGGGCTGTTGTGTAAGAGTATGAGAGATGTAAAATGGCTTTGTGGGTTATTTTCTCTTTGTGATGAATTAACCACTATTCTGTCAACATAATGATGTTGGTTATTTTTACCTGTTGATTATTTTCAATAATACATTTGTTCCTAGTGAGGCTTGCCTGTTACCTTTTTGTTCATTGCCTGAACTCTCAAGAGTCTTCTGTGTTTAGCTCTGTTAGTTTGGCATTTCACTTCCCTGAAGAGCTTAGTGTCATTGCCTACGTGGAGGTTTGGGGTGGGGCATTGTTCATGGTTTAGGTAACAACATTCCCTGGAAACTTGAGTATTAGATCTCTGGTAGACAAGTATCTTTATTGAAATACTTGGAAGAAACAATCCTCTAAAATTCCCTGCAACAAGCTGGCAGAATGTGGTTCAAGGGCCAGATCTGGCTGGCTGTATTCTTTTAAATAAATATTTCACTGGAACTCATTTATTTATGGATTGCATGTGGCTGCCTCTAAGTGGCAACAGCAGACTTGCATCGTTGTGACATAGCCCAAGTTACATGAAAAGTCTAAAATACTAGTTTTACTGAAGGTTTTCTGATGACTGACCTCGCATTCAGATTCTGAATAAGCCCTCCATGTGGCCTGTTTTCCACACCACTGAGCTTAGTGACTTCCCTCTGTGAGCTTGCACAGCAGCCTTGGGTACCTGTGTGGTGCATGGTCCTCTCCAGCCTTCCCCTGTGGTGTTGCAGAACTGGAGGCTGGCCATTGCTCAATAGCTTGTCTATTCTCTCTCTGTCTCTCTCTGCTCTCTTTAGCCTTCCCAGTAGACCTTTCCCTCTTTGGCACATTTGGAAACTGCAGTTGATAACTGACTGTGGACTAGTGAGCAATTTTTTGTTTTAAGAAAACATCAAGGTAAACATCTCCTTTGTTTTCTCTTTGCTTTGCTTCCCCACCCTTAGGCTGCTGCTGGGCACTATAGACAGCTAGCTCCCCAGGCAGGGAGGCACTTCTGGGGTGGGGTGTGTGTGGGAGAGGTAGAGTTGCATTTCACCATCTGGAAAACATACAGGAGACCCACAAGCTACAGGAAGTTTTCCAGGACAGTGTGCTTGATCCTCCAGGGCAGCTTCCTCTTGCCCAGTATAGTGGCCCGAGTCTCCTGGGGTCAGATATCTTCATCCTTCGTGGTGGTCATCCTTCGTAGATAAAATCTGTCCTTGGAATGGTTTTCTCTTGTGAGAACAAGTTAGGCTGATCACGTTTCTAACCAGTTACTCCTTGCCCTTCCCTGTTCTCAGGATTTAGCACTTGGTTTTCTTAGACTTTGCTCCATTTATCAGCTTAGATGTTTATTCTCCTTTTCCTCTTTCCTCTAGGGTCCAATCACAGCAGCAAGCCTGGCATCCCAGTGGAGGAGAGCCCTGGGCGGAACCCAGGAGTTTAACTGCTTGCCAGGCAGCCCTGAGCTGGGGAACAGACAAGCATGTGGGGTTGCTGGAGGGAGCCAAGCAGAAGCTTCATGCCAGCACGTCCCTACCTCTCCAGGCCACGTTTTAGATGGCCCTTATAGGTATGGGTCCTGAGCTTCCTCAGTGCCAGGAGTCATCAGCAGGCCCTAGCCTCCTTTTGGAGATGGGGTCAGCCAAGTATAGCCCTCTAGGAGCCTGATTTTGGAAGGAATGAAAGGAACATTATCTCTAGTCCCTGAGGCCCAGATCCTCTTCCCCTAACACCAGTGCAGTGTATTTATACCTCTCAGAGCCAGGTGCCATGTGGGTGCACAATTCCTGCCTTTATGTTGCCCTGCCCAAACCCTCTGCTGCTGGCAGCACTTTCTCAGCAAACTGAGGGTACTAGGTCTGGCTGGGGGTTCAAATCCATGGCTTTGTCCCTTGTCCCTGGTGTACTTTCTGGCTCCCCTTATAATGCCATGCTTTCATTCATGTGCTCTAGCCTCTCATGTGCCAAATGTAGAAAGCATGCTTTCCCACAAGCCTGTGCCTCCTGCTCCCTCCCATGGAGGTGGCTTTTCTGACCCCTTCTGGAGTCACAAGCAACAAGCTGGCCCTCAGTGGTGCTGAGGCTTAGCCGGCATAGCCCGTGGGTCCGTCACTCCCACCTACTGTGTGTAGTTGCCACTTAACAGTATTGCCCATTTCTGAGTTTTGAGAGGTCACATGTGGGAGGCAGGGGTCTTTCTGCTGGACCTAATGTTGTCTAACCCCAGGGATAGTGACCACCTGCTGTACCTACCTTTCTCATAGGCCTCCAGGGAGGTGTGCTGTAACTGGCATGGAGAGCAGCAAGGGAGGGAAAGATGGTTTATGAACCATGTGCAACCTTGTCACCTTTCTCTTAAAAAAAGGAATTCAAGGTTTTCTTATATCTGAAACATTTCAAATTCTTTGTATGTTCCTTAGCAATGTGGTGTTGGAGAAGTGGAACAAGAAGGCATTTGTCTTTTTTTGTAGTTTACCTAAATTTTCCATCCCCTTTTCAGCTATGTGTAACCTGGGGCATCACAGAGACATGGGACCATAGATTGGGAAGGAATTGAGGAATTCTGGAACTTTCCTTGAAGGATTTGGGCTCTTATAAATGGGGCTGAAGGCCAAAATTGCAGTTGTGTGCTCTCCGAGGAGTTGTTTTCAGGGAATATGCTCTTAAGAACAAATTCAGGTAGGAAATACTTTAAACGCATTTCCAGAACACAAGTTCTGAACCTCGGCTGTAACCTCAGACCCACCTGGCAAATTTAAAATGCTCATACCTAGGTCTACTCCCGGGGCTTCTCGTTTAATCATTCAGAGCACCAGGGTTTTAGTTTTGGAATAGTTTTAGGCTCACAGAAACATTCTGTACACCACATTCCCAGTTTCCTCTAGTTGCAGCATTTCACATAACATTGGTACTTTTTCAAAACTAAAATAACATTGGTGCAATACTCTTTATGGACTTTATTTGGATTTTACCATTTTTTTCCAGTAATGTCCTTTTTCTGTTGCAAGATGTAGTGTAGGATACCAAGTTGCACTTAGAGCTAATGCTTTCATTTTCCCCTTTGTTTTGAAATCATTATAGATTTAATAAGAAGTTACAAAGATGGAGGTCCCATGCACCTTTAACCTAGTTTTCCTCAATGGTTATATCTTTTTTTTTTTTTTTTTGCCGGTTGTGGGGCCTGAACTCTGGGCCTGGGTGCGGTCCCTCAGCTCTTCAGCTCAAGACTAGCATTCTACCACTTGAGCCACAGTCCAACTTCTGGCTTTTTCTGCTTATGTGGTGCTGAGGAATCGAACCCAGGGCCTCATGCATGTAAGACAAGCACTCTACCACTGAACCACCTTCCCAGCCCTGGTTATATCTTATAGAATTATAATACAGTATCAAAACCTGGATTTTTGACAGTGGTGGAGTATGACCATAGAAGTCTACATCATTTGGCATTTGCAGATCTATAGAATTCCTGCCCTAGTCCAATACAGCCCTGTCCTATCACCATCAGGATCCCCACAAACTGCCCTGTTAGAGCCAATATGCCCTTTGCCCCAGTCCTTGGCAACCACTATTTTCATCTTTTTTTTTTTTTTTTTTGTCATTTCAAGAATGTTGTATAAATGGGATAAATTAGTATGTAACTATTTGGGATTACTTTTTTCAATTAACGTAATTCTCTGGAGGTTCATCCAGGTCCTTTTGTGTGACAGTGGTTCATCTTTTTATTGCCAAGTGCTATTCCATGGTATACTTGTTGACCGTCAAAGGATATCTGGATTTTCAGTTTTGGGCTATTCCAAATAAAGCTGCTATGAACATTTATGTACAGGTTTCAGTGTAAATATTAGTTTTCTCTGGGAAGTCCACTAATTTTTCTGTAGAAATCTAAGTCCTTGATCCCAAAATTTGTCTTTTTTACCCCCTACATTTTTTTTTACATTTAAATTTTGGTCTATTTTGTAAAATGTGTGACTCAGTACCTTTTTTTTTTTTTTTTAACTACATGCCTGGGCCTTACTCTGTGACTTGGGCTTGCCTCCTGCCTCAGCTTCTCTGTGCTGTCATTACAGGTGTGTATCACTATACCTGGCCTTTGAAGTAGAGCAGTACTTGGGTTTGAACTCAAGGAATTATGCTTGCTAGGCATGTCCTACCATTTGAGCCTTATGCCTACCCTCTTTGCTGTGGTCTAGACCAGTCTTACACTTGCTATATGGCTAGGAAAATGGGCACCCACTACCATGCTGGTTTACTCTCAGCAAGCTTTTTATCTCAGTTGAGATGGGGTCATGTGGACTTTTTGCTTGGTCTGGCCTTGAACTGTACTCCTTTTGATTTTCATCTCCTTAGTAGCTGGGATTACAGGTATGAGCCACCATACTGTGCTATTTTTTTCAAGCCTACAGTTGTCCAATTATCTTAGCTCCATTTGTTCAAAAGCCATCTTTCCACTCACTGAATTGCTTTGCACCTTTGCAAAGCTCAAGTATATCAAGGCCTTTGGCCCTGGCAGGCAGTCCTTGGTGCCCAATGTACTGTACTGGCTTAGCCCCGCCAAAGAAAGACAACTAGGCTGTGAGGAATAATCAGTTTAATGAGAAAAAAGTACTCCACATAAAAAAAGTGTTTTTGTCTGATACGTCAATATCCTCATTTTCTAGATAAGGCCCTTAGTCCTGAATGCCTGTTTTGCCTATGGCACCAGAGCCTGTGTGCACTGGCTGTGTCACCACAGGTCACTGCCTGTGGAAGGTGTGTGTGGCCCCGGGTTATGGAGCACTAGTCGCTTCTTTTTCACATAGTAAAGGTAACCTTGTTCTTAGCCTCAGAAGTTAAAGTCAAAGTTAGATTAAAAATTAACTGCTGCAAATTAGATGCCAACCCAGGTACCTAGGTAACCCAGGATCGTGTGAGGGAAACAAAGCCTTCATCTTTTTAATCCTTCTCTCAGTCTGTGGTCAGTTGGGAGTAGAGCTCTTTCAGATCAGCTTTCTGGCATTTAAGGAGCCAGCTCCGCCAGCAGTACAGGTCTCTGCCAGTGAAAGAGCAAGGGGAGAGGAGCCAGAAGGGAGCTTGTACACCACCAGTTAGCAGATGAGGGAGGGGAGTGGCGTGCTCCTCACTTTCCCTGTGACCCCCATAGGCCAAGTCCCCAGTTGCTCAGTGTGCAGAGTGGGATACAGGGGCCAGGCCAAAACATCTCCAGTAGTAGAGGACATTGAAGCCTTGGGCAAAATAGGGTTGCGGGCCACCACCTCAAGAATTGAGTGGGCCACAAGCAGTCCCTAGTACCCAGGCACTCAAACCCCTCAAAGGAGAGCCGCCAGCCAACCAATAAAAGTGTGGCAGGCTGGCCTTACCAACCCTTACAGAGTGAGCACAGGTCTCTCCTAAATAAGCTCTAGCTCAGGCTTCTGAGGCAACCCAGTAGGTACTGACTTCTCTGTGGGGTTTCAAACCTGCTGATGTGCCCTCACAGCCTGCCAGTACCCCCTTCAGAGTCCTGAAGACCAGAGATGGCTAGAGCTACTCCAGACACTATCAGGGTTGCCGTTGATAGGAATGGAGTTCCCAGGGGAAACCTCTCTTAAGGGCAGTGGCCAGCTGCATAATGCCTGGCACCTTCATGGCCTGCTTCCACTTTGGCTCCCATCAGGTCCTGGATATAATTGTCGGTCACACCTGAATCACCACCCACAGAAGACTGGCTTTTGTGGAAGGCCAGGGCTAGTCTTCTGAGGGGTAGCAGACACCAAGGAAGTCTAGCACCCAGCCTTGGGTAGTACCGGCCTGCTCACTTTCTGCTCTGGCTTTGGCTCTCACTCGATCCCCTGACCCTCCTTGGGACCCACTTTGCTTTCTGCTGCCCTCTAGTCCTCCGCCGTAGCTCTAGCAGGGAATGCAGCCCCACCTGGCACTGAAGCCCGGAGGCCTGCTTTTTCTACCTGCTGTGCCCAGTGTACTTAGTTCCCACTGAGGCCTTAGGCCTGAGGAAGCAAAGCCCTGAGGAGTCTGGACTGAGGGTCAAGAGACCCAGAAATGCAGTTGCAAGTGAGGGATTGGAATGGTGGCTGTGAGAACCCCACAGGTCCGAGTCATCAGCACCGGGTGCGGGGGTGCCCAACATGGGCCTGCAGTGCTTCCCGGATGCCCCGCTGCCAATCTCGTGACAGCTGCACTGGAGTCAGGGCAGCCTGGAAATAAGGATAGCAGGTCAGTGCTCCCTTTCTTCAAATGCTCCCCTGACCACCTTGCCCAGTTTGCACTCACCATGTTCTGCACTCCCAGCTTGGCTCCATAGAGCAGCAGCAGCTTCATGGCTTTGTAGTGGCCATGCCGCACAGCCTCGTGGAGAGCTGTATCCCCCTCCTGTTGAAAGAGAGGAGGTCACACTCCTGCCATCAGCAGGAAAGTCAGGGTGGCAGGCCTGTCCCTGAGCAGAGTACCTTATCCTGTGCGTTGAGGTGGGCTCCACACTCAATGAGGTGCTCCAGGCAGTCAGAGTGGCCGGTGCGTACTGCCACGTGAAGGGGGGTACTCCAGATCTAGGAGGAAGCAGTAGTCAGTGTTGCCTCTGCCTTCCAATCCCTGAGGATTATACCTTTTCTTCTGCAGGCCTAGCATCTGCTCGCCCCATGCTCTGCTCACGTGCTTCTAAGAGGCCACCCGAAGCGGGCACCTTGTCTCCTCACCTTGTCCTGTGCATTAACCTGGGCTCCCTGGTTAAGCAGCTGTTTGAGAATGTCCAGGTGTCCTCCACGGCAGGCCCAGAATACAGGTGTCCTGTCAAGCTGCAACAAAAAACAGCAAAGCCCTCTGACCTATGGCTGCTGGGCATATTGACTGTAGTACATTAACCACCAAGAGTGGCCTTGCCTAGCTTCTTACCAAGTCCCGAGCATCCACAGTGGCACCAGCTGCCAGCAGCTTGTTCACCAGTTGGATGTGACCCTTCAGACAGGCCCAGTGCAAGGCTGTGCGGTGGAGCTGTGGGCAGAGACGAGACAGCACAGTCAGTCTCAAGTTTACACCCTTCTTGTTCCCAGAGTTGCCTGTTCATATGGCAAAGAGCCTCTCCCTCCCAGTTCAGATACACCACCATATTGAAGCCATGCAAAAGAAAAGCCCTGATGTGTCCCAGGCCAGGACTAAGTGTGCACCGCTACAGATGCTATATAAGCCCATTCACCCACCAATACTACCTTGTCGTGAGCGTTAGGGTCCCCTCCATCTGTCAGGTACTTGTCAATCAGGGCTTCCTGATTTTCAGCAGCTGCCTTCAGGAACATCTCCAGGCCCACAGGCTCCCGCTGGGCCTGTGGCTGTGGCTGTGAAAGCAGAAAGACAAAGTCATTCCTCCCAAGACTGAGCACTGGACACTATAACTTCAGCAGTATATCCCAGTACACTCTGCTGTACTGTTGGTCTGTGCAGTATTGTTCTTTCATTCTCGAGTACAAATAGGAGTTATATGAGAGAGATGCGCTGACTTATGTCTCCCTCTCCTATTCATGTTGAAGTCGTAGCCCCAAGTACCTCAGAATGTGACTGTTTAGAAATTGGGGCCTTAAAGATATAATTAGTTAGGATGAGGTCATTACTGGAGTAGGCAACCCTTTCAATGTAACTTATGTTAAGAGAAGCTCTAATCCAGTGTGAAAGACATAAGCAGGGACCAGGGAAAGCATTATGTGAACAAGGCAGCAGAAACACCAGGAGCTGATGGCTCACACCTATAATCCTAGCTACTCAGAAGGCTGAGATCTGAGGACTGCAGTTTGAAGCTTAGGAACAAGAGATTGCTGCTAGCTAGGGAGGAAGGTGAGAATGGCCCCTCCCTCAGCTGTCAGAAGGAACCAGCTCTGCCAATAGCTGAACTTCAAAAACCCCAGAACTTCAGAAATCCAGTTCTGTGGCTTAAGATTCCCAGGGCACTTCATAACAGCTGCCCTACCAAATACATGAGGACTCAGATGGGTTCCATATGGCTTCCTGGGCACTAGGGGTTCAGTTGTAGCCACAACACCTACTCTTCTCAACCCCACAAGATAGGAGGCTGTACCTCTACAATTCCAGCCCGGGTACTTGAGTCACCCTAACTTCTCACTCACCTCAACCATGGGCTCAGGTTTCCTGGGGGGGACTCTGCGTCTCAGTCGTTTTTCTCTTCGTCTTTGAACCAAGTTTTCCAAGTCTCTCAGGTTCTCCAGATTTAGTCTGGAGCAGTTAAATCTTTCCAGCTGGGATGGAAAGAACGCACAAGTCAAGCAAAGGGCCCTGCTCAGAGGAGATGCCCAGCTGTTCAGGTTTCCTGAGGCTGGGCCATGATTCTGAGGCCCTAACATTCAGAGCTGCCCACATCTTAGTTCCCCAGCATCACTCACTCTCTTCTTCTTCTCTTCTTCCAATTTCAACTTCTCCTGGGCCACGGACTCTTGGCGTCCCAGCCTCCAGTCACTAGGCCAGCCTCCAGGATCAGGAGCTTCATGTCCAAACCCCAACACTTTCCTTTCAACTCTTTCTCCACTTACCTATAGGATAGAGTATAGATGAAAGAATTAATGAGATTGGAGGAACCCCTGGAAAACAATCCTGCAGTGCCAGAAGATGGCTGGCCAGCTGATGTACACAGATCACTGCTTTGGACCCGAGTGCCAGCCTGATCCACCCTTTTGAAAGTTTCTTGGCAAGTCCCTGCCTCCCCTGACACCTGTGGTTCTTACCAATTGTGGCAATGGCCAAGGCCCAGAGGGGCAAATGCTGCCGCCTACTTTGCTCCTGTCAGCAAGATCACAGGGTTGAGGCATGTGAGAAGATATTTATACTGCTGCCAGGCCAGTAGCCTTTGAGCAGATGACACCTTAGCCTCCCTCCTGGGCTGCTACCCTAAATTCCTATTAGATCACATCACACCGCCACCCAACCTGAAGCTCAGGGGTAAAGAAGGTGCTATGGGTAAATCCCTGGTTCAATTCTTGGCAAAGTTGTTTCTGTATCTTTAAAATGGGCTCAAACTTCCAGAACCCAGCGGCTCTTTCCTGTAGTCTTGGAATTTAGGTTTGAAGTCAGCCTGGGCAGAAAAGTCCATGAGACTCTGGCCCCCAGTAAACTAGCCGGGGCCGGGGGGGGGGGGGGGGGGGGGGGAGGGAGGAAGCCAGAACTAGATGTAGAGCTCAACTGGTTGAGTAACAGCTGTGAACTCAAGGCCCTGAGTTCAAGTCCTGGTGCTGGCAAGAAAAAAAAAGTACCAGTGATTCCCATCTGTAATCCTAGCTACTCAGGAGGCTGAGATATGAGAATCACAGTTCAAAGCCAGCCCAGGCAGGAAAGTCCATGAGACTCTTAACCTCCAGTGAACTGCCAGAGAACAGAAGTGGCACTGTGGCTCAAAGTGGTAGAGCACTAGCCTTAAATGAAAGAGCTCAGGGACAGGCCAAGTTCAAGCCCCATGACCAACAAAACAAACCAACACCAAGTGTTCTCTGAGCTACCACCAACACCACCATTAGTAGCACTAAGGAAGGTCCATAGTCTATGCCTTCTGGCAACCTAATCTGGCCCCAGCCAGGAGTGATACAGGCTGGGGCCCTAACCCATAGCAGGTATCCTCTATATCTTAGCTCTCTGAAATTGATATCCTAAAATGTTACTGGCATCACTATTCGTCACTGCCTAGGTAACCCAAGAACACACAAGCCTGTCCCGAAGCAGCCTTTAGACATCCCCAGAGCAAGTACTAGCACAAGGCTTTAAAGAAAAGCCCAGCTACACCTGCATCTTCCAGATAAACTTCCATGTCCCATTTCTACTGTCACAAACTAAGACACAACAGGAAACTTAAGGCGAGGATGTGGCTTAGAAAAACATCTCACAAGTGATGGCCCTGTGACGGATCCTAGTGCTACTCCCCGGCCTGCCCTCCCCCCTTCCCCCCCCAAAAAAGAGCTCACTTTAACTCAAGGACTTTTCACGTGTACCATCAGCCAACTCCTTTCCCATGTCTTCCCTCTCTTGCTCCCTGACCCCCCTCATCACCTTACATGAGACCAGGAAGGAGCTACATGCAGCTTTCTCCTACAGCCTGACTTGCCCAGAGACCAGCTGCCTGCTCTTGGCAGCACTTAGCCACTCTGCTGCAATGGTATAGATATGCCCACCCTTGGCCCCGCAGCCTCACCAACTGCTGAATGCTGATGAAGTCCATGGTCCCCCCTACTCTCCACACCCCCAGTGAGAGCACAGAGCTGCTCAGCCCTTTTATAGGAGAGCTGTCTCCTAGAGGTGGGCAGGACAGAGGCATGTGCCAGGGTTAGATGACTCTGGGGCCCTGTCACACTAACCAAAATACCAGTCTGGGAATGTGGCCCACAGAGGGCAGGAAAAGGAGCTATCTATAGCTGAGTCAGCTCCTGAGCCAGACACCCACTACTCTGCCCCTGGCCACATCCTACATCTACTGGTGAGGAATTTAGTAAACACATCCCGGGGTAAACATTTCCCAGTCTCCTGAATTTAGAGCCCACCTGTGAATAGGCCAGCCTCCATGTTGTGGGTCTGGCAAGCTGAGACACTGGGATAGCCCAGCTCAGACACCCCAGCAAAAGGAGGCTAGAATTCCACAGAGAACCTTGGGAGAGGTAGAAGACCATCTACTACAACAGGATTCTGTCACCACAGTGATTACCCCACCATCAGGAGCAAGCCTGGCCTATCTTAGATCCTTCTCTACTGGAGAAGCCTTCCGTGTCCCTGTGCAGGTCCCTACAGCCATTCCCTGGGCATGGAGGGTGTCATATGGGGAAGAAAGACTCAGAGCCACTCCATCCCATGTGCAGTGACCACCATACCTAGCTGCACAGCAATCTGTCTTCAACCACTCAAGTCAAATTAGCTCATTCTTCTGAAGCCATACAAACCTTCACCCAGCTTGGGCCTTGAACACTAACTTGACCTTTGAAAGGAAATTAGATAGCCAGTAAACAAGACTCCAGAGTTGGCAACATGAGCAGAGATGATCAAACGAGGGAGGGGAACTGTGGCTGGAGAACTAGCGGCCCCACGGGCTGCCAGATGTCCCTCTGACAGAAGCTGGCCGTGTGGAAGTGCTCTAGAGTGTTGAGAAAACTTAGGGAGACTTTGACTTTTTAACTACAGTTCTGCTTGGCAATAGTGGCACATGCCTATAATCTGAACTACTCAGAAGGCCAGGATCTAGAGGACTGTGGTTCATAGCCAGCCAGTCAGAAAAGCTTGCTAGAACCCATTTCTAAAATAACCAACAAAAAGCAAGGGCTGGAAGGATGAATCAAGAGGTAGAGAACCAACCATAAGCAAGAACACTACATGAGAGCATAAGACCCTGAGTTCAAATTCCATAACAACCCCCTCTAAAAAAACAGAAAAAGAAAAAAAAAAACCAAATCAGCTGCTAGTGGCTCACACCTGTAATCCTAGCTACTCAGGAGGATGCCATTAGACTATTGAGGTTTAAAGCCAAACTGAGCAGACAAATTGAAGTACAAGGCCCTGAGTTCAAATTTGAGGGTAGGGGGCGTGAAAAGATAATGTTCAAGAGCTCTTGATTATTCTTGCTACAGCTAGCAGTTTAATCCATGTCCTAATTCTTCCTCTGTATATTTTGTGTTCATACATCACCACAATTTGAAGAGGCATCATGATGTGGAGGGGACACTTGCTATTCTTCCCATGAGTCTGTGCTATACTCCAGTAATGTTTGCAGACTTGACCCTTCCCTACCAGAAAACAGGTCAGTTCTCTCAACCTCTTTTCTTTCAAATATACTCCCATGCTTCAGTACATATCTGGTGCTGAGGCCCTGTGCAAACTAGGTAAGTGCTCTACCACTGATATACACTCCCAGCCCGCAATGTGCATCTTTGTGAATGCTTCTGTATATAGACAGCTTTGTAACAATGGAAGGATCTCTCTAGGAAACTCCTGAGAAAGCACTCCTGTACAGTGCCTGCAACGTGCCAAGCACTCTCTTAAGTGACTTTCCCCAGAGCGACTCTGAGGTGGCTTCAATCAGTGCCACCAGATGAGAAAGCTGAGGTACAGATACCTAGTGTCGTGCACCAAGCTCACTGCTAGAGAGCAGATACTGCCACATTATTTCCTATTTCAGTACTTGCAGTTTGGAATTTTCATAACTCAGCCTCTTATCTTGAATTTTACCTTTGAGTGGGGGATGAAGTCAGAATATAACTTTATTTTTTTTTCCTAACTGGATAGATGTTGCTATGTGAATTAACTTTGAAGATGATCATGTGTCTAAACTTAAAGCTTTCAGCCTCTCCGAACCTCCTCCCTGGTTACCACGAGGCTCTTCCTATGTTTCCCACCCTGCAGTGTGGGTGCTGGACAATACAGGCATGTGAAGCACTAGTCTGTGTACCCTTCAAGGGCAGCTGAAGGGGGAAGGTGGTGCCTCAGCTGGCCAGCAGGTCCCATAAGTCACTGTCACAGGGCAGCAGGTCACATGCTAGCCGTGCTTTCCGGTCTCGGACGGCCTTCAGGGTCGGGCTATGTTGCAACAGTAGAGAGCAAATGTCCACGTGACCCTTCTCTGCAGCCTGTGGAAAGAGAAGCCCAAATCAGAAGGCATACCTCTACTGGGCCCTGCTCATTTTTGTTCCACTTTCAGGACCTTCTTGCTCATAAAACAGAAATCTGTTGAATGGAAACCCTAGGTTTTGAGCAGATCTCTAATTCCTACCAAATCCCAATTACTTATACACAGACTAGACTATCTCTGTCATCTGAGCATTTAACCCTACTTTTTCCTTCTAGTGACCTTTGCCCAGCAGCCATTCTTGCCTTTGGTCAGGTCTTCATACTAAAAACAAGTACAAAAAAGCCAGGTGCCTGTGGCTCACAACTACAATCCTAGCTACCTAGGAGGTTGAGATCTAAGGATCACAGTTCAAAGCCAGCCTGGGCAGGAAAGCCCATGAGACTCTCATCTCCAATTAATCACCAAAAAAATCTAGAGGAACTATGGTTCAAGTGATAAGAGTTCCAGCCTAGAGGGCTGGGAAGGTGGCTCGGTGGTAGAGTGCTTGCCTAGAATGCATGAGACCCTGGGCTCGATTCCTCAGCACCACATATACAGACAAAGCTGGAAGTAGGCGCTGTGGCTCAAGTGGTGGAGTGCTAGCCTTGAGCTGAAGAGCTCAGGGATGGTGCCCAGGCCCAGAGTTCAAGCTCCATGACCGACAAAAAAAAAAAAAAAAGAGTTCCAGTCTTGAGCGAAAAAGTGCAGGGACAACACCCAGGCTCCAAGTCCAAACCCCAGTACTGGTGAAAGAAAGAAAAAAAGTGGGGGAGAATGAAGGGAGGAGGGAAGGAAGGAAGAGAGGGGGAGGGAAGGGGGAAGGAGGGAAGAGTTAGGAAGGGGAAGGAAGCAAAGAAAGGAGGGAGGGAAGGAGGAAGAGAGGGAGAGAGAAGATGTGCAAGCAATTGGTAGAGTGAATACCTCAAAGGAGAGGCCAAGAAGACTGAGGGACTAGGAGAAAGATTTCAATGAAGGATCACCCTGGCTACAGCCTTGCAAGGGAGCTGGAGGAGAGGTAAAACAGTCTGCCTAAAAAGGAAAAAGAAAAGGCCACTATCTATCTGCATTAACTGTAGGTATGTGTACATTAATAAAGGTGAATGCTGAGACGAATAGGTGATTTCTATTTTTTTCTCTCTGCTTTTTGTTTTCTCTCTGTTTCCCACAATGCACAAGTTCTAACTTTTTGGACAAAAGGAAAGTTTTGAAGGGGAACAGGGCCATACTTTGTGTAGACTGGTCATGCCATCATCATCTACCAGCTGGGGGTCAGATCCATGTGAGAGCAGCAGGCGTGCAATCTCCGTGTGACCACAGTAGCTGGCCCGGTGCAGAGCAGTGGCTCCCCCATGGGTCTGGGCATCACACTTTGCTCCACTTTCCAGCAGGAACTGGCAGACGGCATAGTGCCCGTTGCGGCTGGCATAGTGCTGCAGGAGCAAAAACTGAGGTCAGACGGCAGGCAGGCAGATGACAGGGTGATTGTCGGTGGAGGGGTCTGAGTCATCTAGGGACCACCTGTAGCCGCTGAGTGACCGGGCAGGCCTCTCTACTCCTGCCATCAGTTTCAGCAGTTGGAGGAGTTGAATAATAAGTATTCCTAACTCTCAGGATTGTTAGGAAAATAAGTTGCACAATGGGTATGAACTCTATGTGTGTGTAGTGGTACTGGGGTTTGAACTTAGGGACTTGAAATCTATTGGCTTTTCTACTCAAATCTGGAACTCTACCACTTGAGTCAGACCTCCACTTTTGGCTTTTTTTGTTGTTGTTCTTTTTTGTTGTTGTTTTTACTTGAAGATAATAATCTCTTGGATTTGTTTGCCTGGGTTGGCTTTGAACTGAGATCTTCAGATTTCAGCCTCCTGAGTAGCTAGGATTACAGGCTTTGGCTGTACACTAATTAATACACCTAGATTTATTTGATGCTTAAAGGAGTAACTGCTGGTAGAGAGAAGATTCAGGCCAAACACCAATTCCCTCCTCAGAGAACAGGCAGCACCCCCAAACTAAAACTTCTCTCAACAGGTGTGATGGAGTATACCTATAATCCTAGCATTTGGGAGGCTGAGAAAAGAGGAGGATCCAGAGTCCCAGCCAACTTGGATTATATAGTATAAGATCCTCTCTCAAAAGAGAAAAAGAAAAAGAGCTTCCTTGTTTTCCCACTCTGCTCCTCCCAGCTCACCAGAGCAGTATAGCCAGCTGAGTCAGGCTGGCTAGGGTCCGTGGCCTTCTGGATAAAATACTTCACTCGGCCCAGGTCTCCATTCAGTGCTGCTGACCAGATTCCTGCAGAAGGCCAACCAAAGTACTGAGCAGTGCAACACAACCAGAGCCTTTAGTGCTTTCTCCACCTTTTGACCAGAATGTCCCATCTGTAAACTGGAAAATATTTTTTTTTGGGGGGGGGTCCAGTCGTGGGGCCTGAACTCTGGGCCTGGGCGCTGTCCTTCAGCTCTTCAGCTCAAGGCTAGCACTCTACCACTTGAGCCACAGCGCCACTTCCGGCTTTTTTCTTTTTGCTTATGTGGTGCTGAAGAATCGAACCCAGGGCCTCAGGCATGCAAGGCAAGCGCTCTACCACTGAGCCACCTTCCCAGCCCCTGGAAAATATTTTTTTATACAGC